TCTCAGAAGGCAAAATCGTACACGGCTTTTGCTACTCCTAAATACGGACTTCTGCAGTTCAATAAACTTCCGTTTGGTTTACGCACGGCGTGTGCCAGTTTCATTAGATTAATGCGTAAAGTTACTGCAGGTTTGACGAATGTAGAGTGCTACTTTGATAATTTGGTGGTGCATAGCTTGTCATTTCATAAGCACTTGGTTCACATAAGGAATCTTCTGGAAAGATTGCAGGAACACGGGTTAACTGCTGGGCCTAGTAAATGTTTTCTAGCTTTTCCCAATATTAAATATCTTGGATTTAATCTTGGTGAGAAGGGCTTGAGTACCCTTCCAGATAAGGTTGAGGCAATCAAAAGTATGCCGATGCCGGAAACCAAGAAACAACTACTAAGTTTTCTTGGAACACTTTCATTCTATCGGAAGTTCATTCCTAATTTAGCTGACCTCGTACACCCTTTGAACTCTCTTCTGAAAAAATTTCTCCTAATAAGCTGAATTTAACTCCTGATCATTATAAGAGAATCGACGAATTAAAGGATATGTTAGCTAATGCACCAATCTTAACTCTGCCTGACTATGAAAAGACTTTTTATCTCCGAACAGACGCCAGCGACACAGGTCTTGGGGCGGTGTTGCTACAGAATGTTGATAATGTTCTCATGCCAATCGCTTATGCGAGTAGAAAGCTCTCTGACTCGGAAGGGCGTTATGCCGTAATAGAAAGAGAAGCTTTAGCTATTGTCTGGGCTATTAAAAAGTTCTGGTGTTATCTTTATGGCCGCGAGTTTGTCTTGCAAACCGATCAACAACCGTTAACATACATCAGAAACATGAAGAACAGCAATGGTCGTCTTATGCGTTGGTCACTGGCTCTCCAGTCTTATGCATTTACGATAGAGTATATCAGAGGTCAAGATAATGTTGGCGCAGACATTCTTAGTCGACGCTCAGTGTAAGTTAATTGTATATATCACAAGGTAATTTAAGTGAAACCCCACTTTCACTTAAAATCGTATGATTTTAAGTCAAAATGGGGGGCTTTGTACAGGGTTTGGTGTTGGTTTCTCTTAATTTTGTTGTTTTGGTGTGCGAAGTGTGAGTGCGTGCTTGCTTGTGTGCGTGAACGAACCATTTGGTTTACCCGGACGACCCATTTACGTTGCTTCGAGCTTGAAGAAAGCCATAGTCGGTGGTCGCCGTTATATGGTCAGCCACTTGGCTCCGAACTCCACACCGATAACATTCCTCCTTAACTTGCATAAAAGGTGGACGAATACCAGGCCGCATCTGTCTACAAGCAGTGCCTGTATTTTCCGGCTGCATCAGCTGCGTAACTCTGGATACATACCCTGGGCTGTTTACCCTGGACCATAACATCCGGTCCACAATATCCCGGTCCACAGTACCCTGGCTACGCGTGACCCCGGGCCGCTTGACCCCGGGCTGGAATAGTACTTTCGTGATCGTTTCTATTTGTGTTATTACTTGTGGTGTACTTATATATATGAAAATATATATATACTGAAAAATATTGAATTTCTATTCTTTTTCCTTGTCTGCAATCTATTCCCCAGAGGATATAAACAAAAAGAACTAGAGGTTAGCTCAAGATACTATATATATGAAATACTGATATAAAAATGAGCGGAAACCTCGAACAATATGTATATATAGGGGATATATATATATATATATATACATATATATATATATATATTTAACCCAATGGTGCCGGGGAAAATGAACAAAAAATGGGGAAAATATTGTGCCCACTTTCTATGTTTTTCGTGAAATGTCTGCCGATAGATGGCTCTGCTAGCGCCTGATTTAAATGGCGGGAAAAACGGATTTTTCACTAGCGCTATGAAGATCGATGGTATTATTTTTATCATAAACATTATAATTTTTATAATTTTTTTTAACATTAGTAACAGCAAAATAAGATTACGTAAAATATTTTGTAAATCAAAGAAACGGGTAAACGGGCGAGACGGGCGGTGCTCGTAACTGGCTCATTGGGAAGTTAGTACAAGTGTTGCCATCTATGCGTAAAAACAATCAAACAAGTACTCACTGTGGGCATAGCACGTACGTACACGTCATACCCGGCACCAAGGGGATATATATATATATATATATATATATATGGGATATGTATATATATATATATATATATATATATATATATATATATATATACATATATATATATAGGGGGGATGCTTGTGTTTGTGTATACATGTATAAATATATGTATATATTATATATATATATATATATATATACACATATATATATATATATATATATATATATATATATATATATATATATATATATATGTGTGTGTGTGTGTGTGTCTGTGTGTGTTTGTGTGAGTGTGTGTGTGTTTGTGTGTTTGTGAGTAATTGTGAGTGAGTATGTAACTGTATATATATATATGTGTGTGTGTGTGTGCGTGTCAGTGTATTTCATTAACCGTAGAACTTTCTTATCACTTTCTAATTTCATTAATACTACTTTCAAATTCGCCAAGATAATTTGGCAGGATAAGAAATTTGCAGATCAAACGTTCCCGCTTACTGGAATCCGTACTGCTTCGATGAATATCCATTTCTGCAAAGCGATCGGGTTTCGGAGAGAACTTTACCTACATCTTTTTATCATTCTTGTATCTTTATTATTTCAGAAAACCGAATGGGACTGAAGAAGACTTTCTCCTACATTTTCATTTATTATTATTATCAATTTTTCGAGACTTCTGCCGTAAGGTTATTAAGGTCTTGGATTATGCTTCGCCAAATCCACTACACCTGTCGTAAGTAATATATCCACCTGTTACTCCCAAAGACTCCACTAATGCCCTCGGTGGTAGTGCGGCACACGGTATGGCATCATGTACGGGTCCCATATTACACGTAATTAGGGGTATTAGTCTCCCCACACTCCTGTTTCTGTTGTCTTCCTCCTTGTAAGCTGGATATCGCTGGCTCTCCCTGTGAGGCTTTCACTGGTGTGGAGGGGGGGGGGGTGGCTGTGGAATGCAGGCCTCTTTTAGCTTATTGCGATCGCCAGTGGAATCTTCAGAGGATATCATGCAGGCGAGGGAGGGAGATAAATGCATGTAAAAATGTGGAAAGTCTGGGCGCAAGAAGAACAAGCTTTTCGAGTCGGGAATAAGATTGAGATTTTTTTTTAATGAAATTATGGGAGGACGAAACATTATTATAAACAGATTTGGTACGTTTCTGAATAGATTTTATTTTTCGGTGAGGGCGTTATCTCCCAAAACTAGACATGCTGTAGGAGGAAGGCTGTTGGGAATGTCTAAATTGAGTCCAGGTAGTACATTACGACACAAGAGGTACCCCTGTTTTGCAAATTTTCCCTGGTTCTGTCAAGAAGGGAAGTAAGGAGGAAGTACTTTGCTGGAGCATAATCTGTTCAAGATAAATAATGGTAAAAACGTTACATTTTCCTTTTTTCCTTAGGTATCTCTGAGAGGGCATTTAACACTCCATTGTTGTTGTCTCGTTCTTCTGAGAAAAATGAATTTATGTTGCGTGTGGAACATAAGCTTGTAAGTCTTTAAATATTACAATATATATATCTATATATATATATATGTATATCTATACACACACACACACGCAGACACACACACATACACATATTTATATATGTGTGTGAAATGGTGAGCTGAAGGTGGACGAAACATAAAGGAATAAGTGTTCTGACATTAAAATATGCCATTCTATTTCCTTCAAATCTGTAAATAAAGGACTCGTTTCAAGGCGACCGCGCCAAGGGAAGTCAAAGCAGACGAGCAGTAAATTAATTCCTTGCTTCTGTAGGAGAAAACCCTTGAAACATTCACAGGAGATTAGGTAATGTATAGAAAGACCACGCGTTAGACCATAGCAGTGTAAATAAATGGCCCGTGGCTTAAAGATTCAAAAGACTGCAAGCCTAGCACACGGCCGCCCTTCAACTTCTATAACCCTGGCGACAAAGCAAACTTTTTCAAGAGACGATAGGGCGCATAACCCGCGGTGAGGCGTCATCTGAACTTAGAGTTCATAGATCCTTGACTTCAGTCAAAACACAGAAACACACACACTAATATATATATATATATATATATATATATATGTGTGTGTGTGTGTGTGTGTGTGTGTGTGTGTGTGTGTGTGTGTGTTTATGTATATATATATATATATATATATATATATATATATATATATATATATATATATACACATATATATATACATATATGTATGTATGTGAATGTGTGTGTGTATGCATATATGAAAAAAAAACCTATTTACCTAAATATCGATTAATCAATAATTTACATGTATATATAAGTATATATATACATATATATATATGTATATATATATGTATATATATGTATGTATATATATATGTAAGTATGCATGTATATATATGTACATATATATACATACATACATACATATATATACACACACACACACACACACACACACACACACACACACACACACACACATATATATATATATATATATATATATATATATATATATATATGTATATATATATATGTATATACATACATACATATATATATATATATATATATATATACATATATATGTATGCATATATATGTATGTGTATATATGTATACACACACACACACACACACACACACACACATATATATATATATATATATATATATATATATATATACATACATATATATATATGTATATATGTATATATATATACATGTGTGTATATATATATATATATATATATATATATATATATATATATATATATATATATATGTATATACATATACATGTGTGTATATATATATATATATATATATATATATATATATATATATATATATATAGATAGATAGATAGATGCACACACACACTCACACTCACACACACACACACACACACACACACATATCTATATATATATATATATATATATATATATATATATATATATATATATATATATAAATGCATATATATATATATATATGTGTGTGTGTGTGTGAGTGTGTATGTGTACACACACACACACACACATATATATATACATATATACACACACATATACACATACATGCGTGTACGTGCTTATAAGCGCGTAATGAAGAATAATAAAGGAAGGAAAACTGGAAACTAGCGTAACATTTCCAACAGGATCCACGCCCGCATCTGATCTCACGAAAACGAAAAAAAGCGAGCGGAAGAACAGGGTTATTTTCCTGGCAAGGCTACCGATAATGCCAATGTCATTCATTCCCATTGATTTGCTCCGAATACCTGGCGTGACGTCATCCCGATCAGAATTCGTAATTGCCGAAATTGGTTCCAATCCGTCGTTAATGGTATCGATATCGTTATCGGGAGGAAGGCATTGCCCGGTAATCGTAATGAATCCCACCCATGAAGACACCACTGCAGAGAAGCGCACACAAAAGGGAGACGCGTGTGCGAGTACATATACGTACACACACGATCGAGGAGACACACGCGTAACACTCAGATACACGAAGACAAATAAACATACACACTCCCTCTCTCCCTCTTTCCATCTCTCACTCTCTATCTCTCTCCCTCTCCTTCTTTCATTCTCTCTCTTTTTCTATCTCTCTCTCTCTCAATATCTCACTCCATCTCTCTCTCCTTCTCCATATCTTCCACTCTCTCTCTTTCTCTCCAACTCTCTCTCTTTCTCTCCTTCTTCCACTCTCTATCTCACCCTCTTTCTCTCTCTCTCCATCGCTCACTCTGTCTCTGTCTGTCTGTCTCTCTCCCTCCCTTTCTCTCTCTCCATCCCTCACTCTCTCTCTCTCCTACTCACATACATCCAAGAAAAAAATCCAACTCCTCGGGGTCATATTATAGGAATATCACTAAAAGTATTGGATCTA